CGAAACATGGGTCCGGCCGTGGAGACTTGTGAGTCTGTGGGTAAAGGCTGAATATGGCACCGCGCAGCTGCCGTCGCCGGCAGGCGACACAGAAGAGGAAAAAGAAAAAGTAAACGGAAACATAATACGAAGGGCGAAGAGAAGCACGCAGCAAAACACAAAAGGAAGGGAAAGTGCAGAAAACACAATTACGCGGTCCGCATAAGAACAACAGTAAAAAAAACGGGACGAAACTCGACTGAATTTCGCCCCCCACCACCCATGTCTTAGAAAGCACGCCCGTATGGGCTCTATATCTTTCGAGGCGCATCATCCACCGCCCCTGGCTAGCCGCACAACGAAGTTCCGGTTAGCTCACTTGCGCCTTGGCTTCTCCGTCGCGTGTTGGGGGGCCTTCGGCTTCGCTGCCTTGGAAACCTTCGACGTCCCCTTCGTGTTTGCCTTCGCCTTCGCCTTCGCCTTTGGCTTGCTAGCCAGCCGCAGCTTCATCGGCTTCTTCGCGCCCAACCTCGACGCCACTGGCTTTGCCTTCGCGGGCTTGTGGGGTGCGCCCCCCGCCACCTTTGCGGTGCCCTTGGCCGGCTTCTTTGCTGGCGTTTTGGGAGACGCGGCCCTCACCTTCACCTTCCCCTTCCCCGAGCCCACCGGCTTCACGGCGGCGTGCGACGGCGGGACAATGTCAAGCGACGGCATCTTCGGGGGCACCATCTCGAGCGGCGGCGCAACGGGGGCCTTAAGGACCGAGGCGGCAGGCTGCGCCAGGCCCTTGACAGGCAGCACCTTCGCTGCCTTGGCGACCTTTACGGCCCCCTTGCGGAGGGCGGGGCGTGCCAGGAGGCAATACGAGAGGCGAAACATGGGTCCGGCCGTGGAGACTTGTGAGTCTGTGGGTAAAGGCTGAATATGGCACCGCGCAGCTGCCGTCGCCGGCAGGCGACACAGAAGAGGAAAAAGAAAAAAGTAAACGGAAACATAATACGAAGGGCGAAGAGAAGCACGCAGCAAAACACAAAAGGAAGGGAAAGTGCAGAAAACACAATTACGCGGTCCGCATAAGAACAACAGTAAAAAAAACGGGACGAAACTCGACTGAATTTCGCCCCCCACCACCCATGTCTTAGAAAGCACGCCCGTATGGGCTCTATATCTTTCGAGGCGCATCATCCACCGCCCCTGGCTAGCCGCACAACGAAGTTCCGGTTAGCTCACTTGCGCCTTGGCTTCTCCGTCGCGTGTTGGGGGGCCTTCGGCTTCGCTGCCTTGGAAACCTTCGACGTCCCCTTCGTGTTTGC